AGACTGCTCTAGATTAATAAAATCTGTCTTTCATATACCTTCTTACTGGCAGCAGCCATTTTTGGAATTGTGTGCCAATCTGCTATCCTTCAAGGATTTTCTATCTTCTCTTTGGATTTAAAATAACTTCAGATGAAATCAGAATAAATTAAATTTCTATTATAAATTTTCTTCATGTTTGAATACTGCTAACAGTGTAATCTGAATAAATCTATCCTAAATTAAAACCTGCTTCTGCTGACTTACCCCAGTTCCATACTCCAGAAGCAGCTACAGTAAAACCAACAAGAATATATTTTGGTTTTTAATTTGTTTGATTTATATAAAGCATAATTTGACATTTAAATAGTTACTAGTTTTAGAAGACAAGATGATTACAATATATTTTGAAGGTGAACTAAGCATAATGTTGTGTGGATTTTCTGTACTGGGATTTTTTGGGCTGCTGCTGGTTTTTTGTTTGGGGTTTTTTATTTTATGGGTTTTTTTTTACTTTGCTTAACTGGGAAGTTGATATCACTACTTGAGAAACATGTTGAACTGCTCTGTTTAAAATATCTTTTCTCTGAGATGGATTTTATAGCTACACAACACATTTTTCTCTCCCTCTAGAAATGATTCAAAGTATATGCATAAAAATTTACTCTTTTTAACAGAACTTGCCAGTAATGACCTTCAGATTTTTAAAAAAAAAACAGTAAAGTAATTCCACTGCACTGACTATAGCACAAATGTTACTTTTAAATGAAGCCCTGCTAAAAATAAACCAGACATTGATTTCCAAAAGGTTGTAATAGCAGCATAGCACAATGAGACTTTTCTGATGGCAACATCCGCACATGCCCGATTGCTGGAAGCAAATAGCACAAGCTGCTCATGACAGATTTTTAATTAACAAGTTTTACCTCCTCCAAATAGAGAGGATGGTGTAAATCAGAGCACCCTCTCTGACTTAGAGGGAGTACTGCCAACATGTTTCAGCTGAGGATCTGTCCTCCAGACCTGCATGTTGCACTCTGGGTTTAATGAAAGTGTTGTGTGCCTTAGCAAGCAGATCTAATCACACAGCCTGTCTAATTTGGCTCCACAGAGGCCTGCTTTCCTTAATGCACAATGGGTATACATGAATGGTTCCATTTATACACTAATGAACAGTAATCATGTGGGGCTATACACACCCAAGAAGAACAGACCTACCAGTGTAATACAGAGCCTAACTTCCTAAGATATATTTATTTCACTGGAACAAAGTCAATACCCAGTGGCCAAGAACTCAGCTTTACATCTAGACAAAGAAGAACACATAAAGCAGCTCAGGCTCACACCTGGGCAGCCATTTACCCATTTCCTTAAGCCCATCCCTGTCCCTCTCTGACAGTCATTCCCCAGGAAGGACATTTACCAGCTCTGTAAAGCCAGCACCTCACACACTAAATCCTCAAAGTCCCTGCATGAAGCAATTAATCTATAAGGAAACCTTGCATACCAACCTATAGTTTTCACCACATGCCCTCCCATTTCTGCACCCTGCATGCATGGTCAAGGAGCATCTATAGGCAGAAGGAAGGAACTCTTTCTTCATCACCAGATCTCCTTGAACCCCCATTCTGTGACACAGCAATTCTGACTCAGAGAAGACTGTTGCCAGGCTACCAGATAAGCAGAGTTGTTCTTTTGAAGCCCTTGTATCAGGCAGACCAGAAGGTAATGAAAGCAAAGTAACAGGCCTTCTGAAGTGATTGAACTTCCAAAGTTTCACAGAATTTGGAGTCTTTAGTACATGATTTCTGTTTCAGAGAATGTTTGAGAGTGTTTGCAACAACGAGACTCTACTGTATTAAGCCTTGCAGGTCCATCATGCTGTCCCATCATTCTCTGTAACCCCCACTTCAGCAGAGGAAAAAGTGTTGCCCATACTGTGGGGGCAGTGCAGACTGTAAAATCTGGCCAGGTCTAGACGACTGTTTTGCCAGAACAAAGTGCAGTGGGTTCATGCTGATGTCACAGCATCAGCAAAACTCCTCCTGGATGTAAATACATGAGGAAAGGAGGGTACTTATCAGAGATGTACTTTACTTAGTGCAGCTTCATCCATTCATTAGGATTCTCTCAGCACTAGTGGGGTTTCATTTGTGTAACATTCAGCTTCTGTCACTTGCTAGTGAGATGAAAGTAATCCCGTGAGAATAAGCCCTCCAATATCCCAGGCAAATTAACTAGCATCTTTGCCTTTGTTTTTCCTGTTTAATAGGAAATGTGGAGGGGGGAGGGCATGTGTGTGTGGGTTAAAAATAGATGACTAAAATACTTAGATGCTTATTAAGCAATGGAATTCAGTTTAACATGTCCTGCAGGGCTGTAGCATTAGCATGTCTAATGAGATGGGCACAACATGAAACTCTAATGACATCCTATAAAATGGGTTTGGAGACAGGTACATAAACATCCATGGCTAATGAAGCTATGTTTATGCTGGCTTTTTTTTTTTTTTCCCTATGCACTCATCATATTTAACTTTATGCTGTGAAGCAATCTGTGAATGCATGAACTGGACTAACAGAAGATGTGCTCCAGATGTGCATATAAAGTGCTCTAATTGATAGCAAGCAGGCCATGGAACAAATTGGAACAAAATATAAATTAAACCCCAGATATACATAAAATATGGATTTTGAGTCCTCTGGGACAACCGTTTCACTTTACAAATCTACTCCAATTTTTTCCTTTCTATTTGCCACTATTACATGAACTCAACTTAGAGGCTCTGCCCAGGTCCCCAAAAAATACACTCTAACAAGGGACACAAAATGTGTTAAACCACATTCCTAGTGAAAGCAGAGGACCAAACTATATCTAGTCTGATGTTAAAATCTGAAATTGTCAATTATTTAGGTGTAGAGGCATTACTCAACACACAGTGTCATCATACCCATTAAATATCATCCACAAACAATATTTACCCTACTGAAAAGAAGTGTTATTGTTTTGAATAAAACATCAACAGTCTGGCTAGGAAATTGGACTGCCTAAGAGACTAACAAAATACTCCATTCTCACTGGTTTTCAGCTACACTAATAACATTAAAGTATTATCTTCTGGCTCCATCCTTATTTACCCAATTGAATATATTTACTCTCTCTTTCTGACACTTTTAGTGGTAGTTGGTGCCTACCTTCTCCAGCTTTCTGTACCATTGCTGATGACTAAAACTAGGTGACAACCTATTAAACAAGTTCATCTCCTGCTCTCAATGTTACACATTCCAAACCAATACAATAGAGTCAAGGAGCAGAGAAAGGAAACTTCTTGGAACTCAGAGGTCAGGTCTGGGACTGCCACTATAAGCACTTCCCACCACTGCAGGGTGACAGGAGATGACCACAACAGTGCTGGGTCACATTATATCAGTTTCATCTGTTTCATCTCTACTCATCTATAAGCCAACCTGAACAGAGAGAGGCTTGGAACTAAACTGAAAGTAGTTCTTGCCCCAGCACCTGAATCAGCACCAGAAATATCAACATTGTTCTGGACACATCTGCACAGCACATTTTGACATTTACAATATGTGAGTTCAGACTTGCACAGAAAGTAGCCAAGGAGTCCTCAAGATCTAGGACATCTGCCTACAACTTCCAGAGTCTACTGTAAAGGAGAACCAAAATCCTTGGAAACAATTATTTCTGCTGAAGTAATTAATTAACACCCTGAGACATGCAGCTCTCTTCTTTCACTGAATATTTGCACAAAAACACTAGCAATGCTACCAACACTAAATAATTACCACACTTCTATAGGCCAGGACCTTGCCAAATTTGAGTTGTCAATAAATGTGCTTAAGGAAGCAGTTTGGATAGACAAGGCTTTTCTGAATGAATTTAGAGTGAAAGCTTGTAAGTGGCCTCTTAAAAGATTTCCTGAGACTTCCTTTTTTATTTTATTTAAAAGAGGTCATAAATAGCTAAAATAAATAAAAAGGGGAATCTCAGGGCCTTTCCAGGTTGCTGTGACCCCGAGATTGTTAAAAGTCTCTTTTCCCAGCCCAGCACTTGAAGAATGAGTCAGAGCTCTTCAGTTCTCGGTCTCAAGGTTGTTTATTGTGTCTTACCTATAAAAATTTTCTCCTGCCCTGCCAAGGTCTGTCCAGCAGGACAGTTCCAGGCACACTGCCTGCCCCCAGGGTGGTGTTATGTCTTTATACTAAAAACTACATGTACAATGTTTACAATTACTTTCCAATACCTATTACCTAATTTAGACAGTGAGCTTCTACCCTAAACCAATCTAAAAGTGCCAACATCACAGCAGAAGATGGAGGCCAAGAAGAAGAAGGAGAAAGACTGGACACACCCAGTTCCCTCCATCTTGCCTCCTGAACCTCCATACCAAAACCCCTAAAATTTACTTTTCCACCCTGTGATAACTCCACTAATATCCTACTTAAACTGTTGTGCCTTGATGATCTTCATGTAAGGTTGGTAATTTGCTCCATGGGTCATAATCAAAACCACAGGTGTTTTGGGCTCTGTGCCAGGGCTTCTGAGCCCCCTGGCAGGGGTCCTGGCCATCCTGGACAGCCAGAGGGATGTTCTGGGTTCCCACAGGGGAAAAATAAAAACTTGGATTCCTGTAATTGTTTCTGCCTTTACTCCTTTCATAGTGTTACACTCTAACAACCTTCCATTCTGACCTTTTCTACTTTAGGCCTCAAACTTGCAACAAGCTCCCATTGGAGTCCTGTGGAAGACAGTGTGGTTGCTCACACACGAAAGGTTGTGCAACAGCACCCTGTGGTGAGACAGTGCCTTGTTCTGAGTGTGCACCATGCCCAGCACGCCCAGTTGCCGACACCACACGCTCCTTGGCACGGGAGCTGTACAGAGACCAGACTGAACACAACTCCACGAGGTGAGGGTGAAGCGATGCTGTCATACGGGCAGTGGCGGCAACCACAGAGGTAACACCAACACCAAGGGGGAGGAGAGAGAACCAGGATTACCTGCTGGGCCTGCTGCAGCAGCTCCATCCTCTCGTGCAAGATCTGGCTGTCAAACTCCCGGCTCTGCCTCAGGATCTGCCGCCGCACCTTCTCCACCGCCGCACGCAGATCCTCCCGCTGCGCCTCCGTCAGCGACTCGCTGGCCCGCCGGCCCGGGTCCTGCTGCAGGGCATTATACAGCGTGGCCTCCAGCTCCTGGATTTTCTAGTGCAACCCAAAGCATACACAGACAGGCTGGCGTTTGAATCCAGCAAGCAAACAACCCACCAAGAGCTAGAGGAGGAGGCTAGCAAGGCAGGAGGGCAGGATGGACACGGACAGACCGACAGAAAGCAGCAAGCGTGAGCAGTGAGGAGCATTCCACACAGAGTGCGCGCAGCCTCCTGGCACGGATGGACACCCGGGAGATGGGTCCTGCTCTAGCAAATCATTGATTCTTCCATTTAAGAAAGATTCAGAAGATAGGTCTGCATTCAGTACCTGATAAAACTCCAAATCCTGCTGCTGAACATTACAAATTTAACTTAAACTAACAGATTTCCTTCAACTGCAGCTGAATTGTTAAGCCATCCTATAAAATAAAAAGACCACAGGAAAAACTGTGAACAGAAATCTCACTCTCCCTCTCTGTGGCCCTAGTGACCTGATAGCCATGGCTCACAGTCTGTGTCACTGGCTTAGCTCCAAGTTGCCATAAGCAATGAAGGAAGGAACACTTGTATACACTAATCCCTCATCCATCTCTTGCTGTCTGCCAGATTCTCATGCAGTACTTTGCAGAGCCCACAACACAGGAGAACTTCAGATTCACGTGGAGAATCGTACTCCCAAGAGGAAAGGAAGGAATCGTGGCAGTGTTGCCTTGATTACTGGGGTTAGCATGATCCTATCAAAAACCAGCATCCAGACTAACAATATTTGGATCAAGAGCATCTGACCACATCCCTTTGGCCCTCAGAACACCTTTGTGAGGTAGGTAATTCCATCCATATTATTGATGCATAAACAGCTGCACAGAGAGGTTAAATGGCTTGCCCAAGGTCACAGTGCTAGAAATAGTGCTTGCTTGCTTTTATCTCTGTTATCCGCTCTGAGCACTAGACCTTGCTTCTTCTCTGAAAACATTTTCCACATAAGAAACATTTACAGTGTATAAATAGTGCTTCAGGCCATTATGTTTTTGATTTCCCAAAGTCTCACTATCAACAAAGTTGTGTGTGTAGTTTTACCAATTCCTGGATAATTCCTGATTGTTTAGCCTGAGAAAAGGCAAGGTTGCAGCTTCCCTTTTGAAAATGAGGAAGGGTAAGGTTGGATAGGATCGCACAGGAAGGAATTGCATGGGAAGAACAGGCATTCCTGACTTAGGATAGGTTAGCAGCAGTAATACTTACAAATGCTTCAGGAAAAGTAATACTGGAAAAGTTCTAAAGTAATTTCTGGTGTATTTTAGCAGTCATGGTTTTTTTTCATACATAAACCAGCTTCCAGATGTACCAACAAGATGTTTGCATATCATAGAATAAAAAATGCAATGCAAAAATATTACACTTGTAAGTACTATAATCCATTTCCTAAACTTTTGTTTAAGAAATAGTTGATTTCTAGTCTGGCAGGAAAAAAAAAGATATAAAGTAAAAAAGAGTCCTATTTATAATTAAAAGAAAAAAACCCAAACCAACCAAAACCTGCATTTTATCCATTTTATCAGATCTGTTCAAACAAAAAAATTAATGACTGTTCTTTTCCTACCATGTATGCCTGGTCCAGAGCTTGCTTCCTGTAGTCGAGTTCTTCCTCTAAATAACCCTTCTGTTTACTGAACAGGTCCTGAGCAATAATAAAAACAAGGGAGTGTTTGTTCTTTATCCTAATTCATGAAGAATCATAAATGCCATAATTTTTATGCAAGCTTTCCACTTGAAAGCAAAAGAAAACCCATAGCAAATGACCACGTTCATCCTAAGGATATTTGGAATATCAAATTTATGATATTAGCACTTCAAATCTGTGTATCATATTAACAAGCTGTACCTAGAAAGCATTGACCTCTACACCAGTGCACAAACCTGCCTGGACCTGACAGAAGTGCAGCAAAAGGTGAGTGGGGATGTACATGCATGTGGTCCAAAAGCTGTACCTCACACAGGGCCAAGGGAGGGAAAAGAGAAACACAAGAGAGGGCACTTTATGAAAATATCCCATGGAAATACAACCCTTAAGGAAATCATGGGGCATGCCCTACTTGCTGTTGTCTAATGTGTTCTTTTAGGGAGGAAACCCAAGCATGCAGGGTTATCCACAGCTGGATTCTGCAGCACCATCCTGTGATGTGTTACTGAAGCTGTAGTAACAACTCAGTCCTCAGCTTGTACAGGCAGGAGGCCAAACTGAAACGGGTGAAGTGATGCCCAGAGAGGCTGAGTGAGTAGCTGAAGAAGTTTTCAAGATATCTAAGATTTACAGGGATTGTTTACTTTTGTTCTTAAAAATCAAACTCCTCAACTTTCACACCTAATATATATAAACCGCACAGACTGGGGTTTCAGTGGAACTCAGTATCCAAAAAATGTTTCAAGCAAGTTGTGGACATTCAGATGGTTGCCTGATTAGTGAAGCCTTTAGAGTCTTTTGATTCATAAAATTATAGAATAGTTTGGGTTGGAAGGGACCTCAAAGATTATCTTGATCCAACCCCCCTGCCATGGGCAGGGACACCTTCCCCTAGGCCAGGTTTGATGATAGTAAGTAGAACATCAAAGAGTTACTTAATTTTATTAGCTTTTTTTTTCAAAGCAGGTTTTCACACTCAAAAGAATTAGTAGCAGAACAAAAAGCAGAAAAGCCCTTTGACTGAATTTAATATTTCCTATCATTCTTTTTTCTAATCAACAAACTTTTGCATTTCCTCCACATATAGAATAAATGTCAAATTAAATATATACGGTTCTTAAGATCACTAATTGCAGTTTTTATTAACAGTGTTAAAAAATCCAAATATTGTTGCTCTGGTTAGTTTTATTGGATATGGGATTGCCTCAAAGTCACTTACTTGGCCAAATTTTGCTATCAGACATATATGTGGACTTCTGACAATGTTTCTGTCAGTTGCCAGTAGTAACAGTAGCAACATATAAGACCAGTATTAGAGGATTCAGAGGAACAAGGTGCTATTTGTTCTCTGTATAAGAAGTATAATATTTACTATTAATTTATTTTGTAAACTTGAAGTTCTTTTAATTACCTATTAATTAATATTCAAGGCAAACCCAAAATTTAAGTCAGACCTTGGTCTTGGGGCTGGAATTTGGTCAGGAACAGATGGGCATCTATCACCATGATAGCCATTTCAGAATCTTTCTGCTCCAGAATATTCTAAATATGCTACTGGTCCTGAAAGGAAAGGGCCTCCAACAAGTCCTGTAGGACATATTTTTCAGCCCTTTGTGACATCTCCAGAACTCTTGAGTTCAGAACTCTGGAGAATGTGATATGGTATTAGACACCACATTTATGCAACTGAATGCCCCCATGGTTACCCAGGTGGCTCATTTTCTGACATGGATGAATTACAGCAACTGCAATGCTGTTGTACAGGATGAAACACCACCATGCACTGGGAGGGCACAGCAAAGAACAGGCCTGGTCCTGACTTTCTTACAAGTGTCTGACACCACAGAGGTAGATTCAATTGTCTTAGACTATAAAATGGGTCAGAGCTACCACCAGAGCCCAGAATAGCAATGCAGCTGCCCTGATCCTGTTACCTCTCAAAAGGGAAAGTAAAGGCTGCCCACAGACAGCAAGAGGGAAAGAAACAAGAATAGGACCTCAAACCCTTAACATGGGTTTCAAAGACAACTACACCAGTGCTCAGTCTTTCTAAAAGTATCATGCTAGAATATAATTTCTCAACTCATTGAGTCAATCAGATTGCTGTGCTAAAAAAATAGATGCAAGGGCTATCCATGGTAAGACTTGAAAACATCACAGATAATAAAGGGGAAGATAATATATCAAGTTACAAACACCCCTATTTTTTCCATTTTTCTTTAAAAAAGAATTTTGTATTTGTGGCCACTTTCCCTTCCCCAAGCCTTTGCATTTTTCCATAACAAGACTTAAAAATAAAGAAATACTAAATGTGGAAAGTATCTTATCTGTGTTAGAGTACAATCAGTGTGACAGGTTACACTCAACAGAGAACACAGTCTGAGCACTTATATTTTTGTTTGTGGCTCAAGCACACACTTCTTCAGTGGCCCTGGGCAAATCACTTAACCTCCCTGTCTCATTGTCCCATTCTTTAGGAGGAATGCAATGCTGCTTATTTATCTACCTGTAAAGGTGTGGTGAGGATTAATCAGTGTTTGGATTGCCATTGGAAGATGTGAAGCACAGCATACATGGTAAACCAATAAAACCAAACACTCCTTCTAAAACTGTTCAACATATGGAAAAATAAGGTCAGTTTGTTTTTCAAAACAGAACTGCTTTTTGAGAAAACATTCTCTCTTTAGGCATGAAGGCCATGGGGAAAGAAAGGTCACCTGGAGTCAGAGGTCTTGACAGCTTGTCCAGAAGCTGAGTACCAGAGAGCAAAGAAATACCCTTGCCAATTCTACTAGCATGACCCCAACATTATAAAGATAATGCTGCTGCCTGACAAATTAACATACAAAGAAAGTACAGAGACAATTTTGCACCGGTTAATGTGCTCTCCAGCTATGCCTTTGTGCCCTAATTCATATCTATTTTTGCTATTTTTGTTCTATACAGATTTGAAAATTTTGTCTCACCCCAAAGAATACAAGCAATAGATTGTTCTAAAAACCACTTGCCTATTTTACCATGAAGCCATCTCTGTCAAGCAGAGAAAGGCAGGAAACCTGCCTGGGATGAAAGACATGCACAAACCCTTACATGAGCTTTAGCTAAATGAATTTTTAGCTATTGTTTCTTACCTTCTCATTCTCCAGGTCTAACATCTTCTGTGTCAGTGCAGCTTCTGTCCCCTCTATCTGTTTCAACCACTACAGCAGTGTGAAGAGAAAAAAATATAAAATGAACAGAGATTTTGAGAAAGGTTCTACCAAACATTTTTCAAGTTTCTTGCCAGCACTTCCAGGCATATACTGCTCCCATGCTATCTATTCACTCTGGAGACACACATGAATAAACAGGTTGTGAGAGCACAGGCAGAATGGAGGACTGCAGAGTCACACTAAAGACTAACAAGTGTAGGTTGCTTTCCTACAGAAAATAAAATTGGGTTTTCCCCTGTAAAGTTCAAGAAACAAAATAGATTTGGGTCAAGAATGCAAAATCAACCTGATTGTTTCTTACTCAAATGCTTGTTGGCCTGATTTGTGAAACCATCATCTCACTCCAGTCCTTCATTTTTCCAGAGGGCAATTGAAACAAAATACAAGGTGGAAAACTCACCACTTAATTCTGCACAGTTTGCTGCACTCTTTGTGAGAAAAGGCTCACTTGTAAAACATTGGTAATGTGGAGGGAAAAAAAAACAGACAGACAGATGGAAATTCTTGTCATTGCTACTATGAATCCCTTGCCATTATGGAAACACTCAAAACAATCAGAATGAAAAACAGCCATTGCATTCCAAAGGTAAAAATTACACATCATAACAGCTACATGCATGGATACAAGGTTCTTGCTTAATTACTGTCACCAGGATTATGTTAATATTTCCATTTAAGTTTATTGGAATGGATGGAAATGGTCAGTTCTGAATTATTTCATTTAATTCCTCTACTGGTCTTCAATAAGGACCCATGACTAGCTTACAGAGAGCAGATTTGCCACTGATAATTATTGCTTTCCTCCACTGCCTTGTTTACTAACACTGGGCTACTCATATCTGCTTTAAGTCTTTTGGTATCCTTTGCACATCAACTCCTTTAATTGAGTGTTTTGGTGAATTCATTAGGTCTCAGACTCAAAGGAATGAATGGCATACTAGCTTTTTTCCCCAGGATTTACATAGGAAATTTCAAACATAAGTTTACAACTTATGAAATGTGAATTCATTACTTCATAATTTTGAACCTTCCACTATTTAAGAGACCGATGGAAAAAAGAAAATTTGTTTTATCTGCTTAGCAGGTTAGCTTTCTACAGAAAAAAACAGGAACACAATAGTCCCCAGAGACTCTATTTTCACCATCTTTGTTTTCATTTTGAAGGTGACAAGCTGAAGATATTCCTAAGGAAAGCCTCATCATGGATATTCAAGCATTCTGAATTTTGAAATCAATGGAAATGGGAAATCCTGACCATCTCTCACAGCTACCCTCAATCAAGTGAAGGGCTATTTGCAAAAATTAGAGATCTAATTTTTTTAAGGTATGCAGATGATATGCAAAACTAAATGTTGATTCTGAACATTCTATGCCTGTTACCCTTTCATAATGGGTCACAGGAGACACAAAAAGTATTTTTTGGAGTCTATATCTTAGCCTTTTATAGTGGGGTTCTTCTCCTTTCATTTTTTGGATGTGAAGTGCTAAAATTCCTTCTCTTTTAATGGCACAGCACAGTGAAAAAACATAGGCATTTTAGCCCTATTCCCCATTCATTTTGCTTATAGTAATTATTCATTTAAATTAATGATTATTAAATTACCTCATGTAGATTATTTACCTGAAGGTATTTAGATAAGTAGATTATCAAAATTATATCAATTAAAGCAATGATTAAACTGCTCAAATTTTAATTTAAAATATTCTGAATTTCAACAATACATCAGGAAAGATTTAATGGAAACATATGAAAAGGATGCACAGAGCTTCTTCAGAGAAATACGCAAGTCAGTCTTAGTTCTAAATGTCACCCCTTTCATATACAGATTATATTCCCTGGAAGTAAAGAACTAGCCATACAGAAATGAGTGACCTGACTGTCTTGTGCAAACTACTTTTTCTCTATGTCCACTAATTTACAGAGGAGAGGACCACAGAGTACTCTGAGCTTTTTCCATCATCCACAGGAATGAGCCCAAAAGGGACCATGGGCACCTGACAGAGGGCACCTTACACCTGCTCCCAGAGCAATGAGGACACAGCACTTCTGGGAATGGAGTCTCTTCTGTTAAGTGGATTTTTAGTACTTTATGCTAAGGGAATATCTCCAAAAATGTTTTTATTTTTAAACTGGGTTTCTTTCTTAAGTTTGGCTTTACCTCAAGACATCACAATCCCAACATTCATGTAAGGATGAACACATGCTCCAATCCAGATGACCTGAACAGAAAAGCCATGCTTCCCTGGCAATGTTATGAGGTATCTTACAAGACATGGCCAGTTTTAAGCAGAGAAAAATATTTACTGAATTCTACCTTTTCACAGAGGGAAAGCACAGTCCCAGCTTGGATTATTGCAACCTGCTCTTCATTTCTCAAATTCTAAAATACAAAAAGATACATTTTAAATTGCATTAAAAATTCATTCTTTACCATGAGCAGTAAGTTTTAACCATACTTCAAAAAGTAAAACAGTTGTACCATTTAGGATTATAGACATGACCAAAAAGGATCCCATGATTGAAAGTACTGAAAATTAAACCAAGGGTGCTGAGTTCCACTTTATTTCAGCATGCCAGCCCCACAACCCTTTTTCAACAGATCATTCAATGAAACAGATCATTCAATTACAATTAAGGGTTTCAGTCAGGGATTTTGCAATTTTTTTTCCCTGTTTTTGCCAGTTCACTGGACTAAGCCTTGCAGCAAGTGAATCTCACCTTCATGCACTTCAGACTTCCAATTAAAGAAAACAATGCAAAGAGTAAGTGCCATAGAAATCTCCACAGGACTTGCAACACAACATGCAAATCTAGAACTTAAAACTAAAAAGACCTCAATCTGTTAAATCTAGCTATAAACTGGACTCAGCTCCCTGGATGTTTGTGCCTCAAATGTGTGACTAAGATTTCATACTGTACTTAGCAATAAAGAGGGAAAAGGGGAGACAGTTTTCCTTGCCTTTTTCCCAGAAAATCCACTCCTGGCAGTGGCAGCCTTCACAGCAGAAGGTGCTACTATAGCTGCTCAAGAGGGATAATTCACAGCTTGGTCTGGCTTTGACTTCTGTTTTGCATCTTTTCACTTTGCCTATTACAGTGCCTATCATTTGGTCAAGACCAAATCCTACCTTGAAAAAATACTCTTTTCACTACCATCAGTTTAACTACAAAAATTCATGTTCTAAAAGCCATTCCTAGCCATTCATATTCTTCATACAAACACAGGCATATAAAAATCACCCCGTGCACTGTCTTGGATGTTAGTAGCTGCTCTGGAAAAAAAAAACCAACTTTAAATTAACCATGAAACTGGAAGTATGTTTAAAAGTAAAAAATTGTTACCCCATTATCTCCAAGAATATCTAGCTTCTTCATAAGTTCAGATATATTCACGTCCTGAAAAAAGATGTTTGACACTTATTTTTATGAAGTAGGTCAGAAACAGTCTTTATATGCTACATTTTATGTACCCCTTATTCTCTTCTGTGTGTGAAAAGACTTCAAATGTAAGTAAGTGAAACATAGTTTTGCATCACAATTACAAAAGTAATTATTGGTATTTTAAGACAAAACCAAAAGTCACTCTCAATTACAACAAGCAACCTGGGTAGCTGTGCATGAGGGCAGAATGCTTCTGTATCATTCACACTTCTCATCCTGCTAATGTGTGTAGAGGAAAGATCAAAACTGATAAAGAGGTTTGAAAGACGCAAAGAGAAAGGGCTTAAAAGACTTTTTTTTGTTTGTTTGGAGTGGAGCATCAGCCACATCAAGCTGCAGAAGTTACAAGGACAGAGAGCACGAACACATAATTACTAAGAAGATTTGCTTGGTGATTTGCTTTTTATTTTCTTTGTTAAACAAAAACATGGAGTTTCAAATCAGCCTTACAGTGACAGAAGGGAATGTGCACAGTGGGCTGAACATCCTTCTCCAAACAGCTTATCAGTTCATAATCATCTTTCTGATTAGAAAGCCACATTTCTCTGCCACTCAGCTCTCAGATAATGAGCTGAACAGTCCTTCCTTATTAAGGCTCAGCCACTGAAAAAAAGAAAACAACCCCTCTGATTCAAAAAAGAGAGGAATAAATTCATGGAATCACATAATCGTGGAATATGCTGAGATGGAAGGGATGCATCAGGATCATTGAGTCCAACTCCTGGCCCTACACATCATCATCCCCAGGAGTCACAGCATGCGCCTGAGAGCATTGTCCAAACACTCCTTCAGCTCTGTCAGGCTGGAGCTGTGACCAGTGCCCTGAGGAGCTGTTCAGTGCCCACTCTCTGGGTGAAGAACCTTTTCCTGATAAAATTCACATGATGTCTGTATTTCACACTATGCCAGGATCCATTCCTAGGCCCCAGAACTCTATTTAAAGTTTAAAAAGTTGTTGAAAAGGGTCATGGAACTGTTTAACCAGAGGTAATCACATTCTCCTGAACTATCCCAAGTTTGGTCTGCAAGTTAACACATCAAAGTTAAAATGGACCAGGGATCATTTCCACTGACAGCCTGTAATGCAGCCTTGCTGTTTGAAGGCAGGAAGCCTTGAGAGCATGGGAATAGACCAGTCCATGTTAGTCCAAAATGCTTAATAGACATACATAAAGCAAAAGAGTCTTGTTAAATGCTGCCACCGTCAATTTCTACTCATATCCAGCGCTTAGAAAAGGCCAATATGTCACAGGGCCATGTGCAGTTTTCAAGTTTTTCTATCCTGAGAGGTCCCCTCCATCTCTTCCCAAAAACTTCAGGGGTGCTCCCAAATGTTACATGAGCTATTTAGCCGTGCCCGTCACTAACCCTGGAATGGTGCAGATCCTAATACACTTGTATTTGGATGGATGTTAAAAACAAAACTATTGATTATGATCAGCATTAACAATGCTGAACAGAAACTTCTTTAGCCAATGAGTTACATTAGTGAAGAATGGAATTTATGTGCATCTATTCAGCCAGAAATAATCATTCTAATAATTTATTTCCATATGATGCATAAAGGAAGAATCAGAAACTAAATCAGATTTTGCATCATTCTGGAATCTACATTGCTACTGATGGCTAACAATTTTTAAAAGCACTGAAAACAGATAAAAGGTCAACTATTTCAGTCTGCCCAGTTTAGGTGACTGCCCCATCTTCCAGGTAAGCAAACTGAAAGGCAGACTGAAAAAAATCCACCTGTTAAAGCATATCACAGATGGCAATGGAAAAAAGGGAATTATGGATACTGCTACAGCCAATATGCAGATTAGAACAACAGGTAAGCTAAAAGTGGGCCTGGCTCTATTTGTAGGTGATGTGCTAACTGATGATTCTTGGTGTGCTTTGGGAGATAAGACTCCAACCAAATCTGTAGGTATGAAGCAGATTTTAACTCTTTCCTTTCAGACTAATCAACTTCCTAAAAATATGCAGGGACAATTTCTGTTTATTTCCCCTAAGCCTCCTATAAGGGGACTTGTAAACACAACTAAAAATTCAACCATTAATCACTAGTGAATGGCACTGAGATTATGCTTTATTTACTTGTAGAAAAGTTACCCAGCCCTGTTGTGTAACATTACTGACAACACAAGTCTGAATTCAATCTTAAGTGAACCAGCATGCAAATCAAGTTGCAGAAATGGCCTGTTCATGGGGGAACAGGAGTGAAAAGAGTAATTCTTGCTTCCTTCTATCAGAAGGTAATCAAGGGAGAATGTGATGTTTATCTTGTCCTTGTTCTAAAAGAGTCCCACCTATCTGAATGAGTTCTGGGTCAGGCACCTCCTGCTTCAAGGCCCTGGCCTTGGCAAATAACTTAAGCATATTAATTCAACAAATAAAAGCCTTCACTAAATTTGGTGTAAAATAAGGACTGAATGTCATATTTCTGAACTCAGATGAAGACATTTAATATCATGAACCATGTACAGTAGCAAGCCTGACAAGGAATCACTTCAACATCCACATTCTTCCCTAGACTAAATGTAAATTATCTTGATTGACCAGCCTTCAGTTTCAATAAGGATCTCCTGACATGACCAGATCATATTCCTATGAAACGGTTTCCCCAGTTAAAAATATTTTTTCTAATTTTATTTTTCTTTTTTTGCATTTTCTTCCCTGGTAAGTGTCAAACCATTTGCTTGGATATTAGACTGGTCATTCAAGAAAGTTTCCTAGCCATCCAACAGTTTCTAGTGTTTCTCTCATATACCTTTATTCCTTCCTGATGGCAGAACAGTTGAAGTGCACTTCCATTGTTTTCAGGGAAGGTGGTTATATGAAGATTAAATGCTGGTGACCTTCTCTCTCTTTCCTGAGGAAAGATTTGTTTAAAAACAACATTTGTGAATATACATGAACATTTCTGCTCCACCTTTACAAAACATACTTGTACATTAAAAAGGCAGATTCGTACTCTCATTCCAAATCTAGTCTATTTCCTCTTTTACCATATTTGAAGAATTTTGGCTAAATACAACCATAGTGTTGGTTGCCAGCTGATGCCATGCACACAGTTTCTGCAAAGCTACCTGACACTCCCCAGCTGCAGAACCCTTGCAACACTGGCCCTAATTGACTGGAGCCCTGAAATACTCTGCAGATTTTTATGTTGATTCTAACCTTGTTTAACTACTGTTTTCTTTCATAGAACACTAAAAAAATTTAGAAAGAAAAATCTGCAGAAAAAAAATTAAACTCCATCATGAAACAGTATTGTTGAATATTTTCTCACTAAAGTTAAACCTATGTGTCTGGTCCCTGTTTATTCTACAGACTACCTTCCTATTAGAGCATTTAAAATTCCCATTCATATTCACTCCAAAAGCCAAGATGTCAGAAAATGTCGAAAGGCAGCACTATTCTACAGTTATGATGTTCTTTGTGACAAAACAAAAAATTATAATTTCCCATCTATCTAAAGATATTTAGAATATCTAAAACTTAACTGGTACATGACTTCCATGCATTTCTTCAAAATACCAACCTATTATTTCTTCAGCAGGCAGATATAGCATAACAAAAAAGCAATTTTTAGCTAAATTAAATTTTCATATGCCTGTGAAAAATGACTGGACTGAAGGCTCTGGGCAACCAATGCATTGGGTCTTACTCTGAATTCTCTCTGGCCATGAGAACATGAGCAAGAAACACCAGATTTCATCTCCATGTTACAAGGGGATGCTTTGGCACCATGAGCTTCATTTTCTGAGAGAGACCACTACTACAAATACTTCAGCTCCTATGACCATCCCTGTATTACTCCATTTCCTAAATCACAAAGGAGGTGCTTTAATTGATATGGCAGACAAGCTGCATCCATTCACTTAAACATGTTACAAAGCATGGCAAATCTTGTTATTAATTAGGTTAAACATAATTTGACACTACAGTGTAGAGAGAAAAATCTCTGTAGCCTCTGTAATTTCCCCCCTCTGAAGTTTTTTTGAAAGAATATATACATCAACAGTCTAATTCTGAAATGGGCTTAAATAATGTCTTAGCTGCTGTAAACCAAAACCAGACCTTTATTTCTTATCCAAATTCAGTTATTATTTTAGATAGTGTTAAAAATTCATCAGTTGCTATTGCATTCATCTTACCTAAACTTGCTTGCTTTAATTGATAAATAAATCATTTTTTTATACTTTACCTAATTTTAATCTGAAGAACTGTGCTAAAAAATACTGTCCTGCTTACCAGTAGAACTGATGGTTTTCCTAAAGCATTGCATTGTCAGTCACATTGGTGCCTACATGCTTGTCTACGAAGGAAAAAATCTTTTCTCGCAATCACACAAAAATACTTCCATTGTTATTCTGTGAAAGAATTTTTCCAAGCTTTGGCACATGACAAAACCTTACATGAGAAAGTGAGCTGTTTTTGATGTGATTCTTCCATGTGAAAATAGCTCATCATGAAGGAGCTATTGAAGAATATTTGTTCTTTCCTTAAGAAATCTGTTTTGGACAGTTTTACTTCTAAGAACACCCACCCTTTAGGAAGCAATTTCTAGTGCAACAGCCAATTCAAATCCTAAATTGTTCTCTATTTTTCTTTACAGTCCTTCCATAAATTATAAAGATACCTATTAGAAAGCATTTCTATTTTTCTGAACATTTACTGAAATTCTAGTAACCTAAATTCATAATTTTGAATATAATGGGCTATGACATCAAAACATATGGCTGATAAAGGATGAAAAAAAGATTAAGAAATGTCAGACAAAAAGAACGTCCACATAACAGGGAGACATGACATTTTCATCTTTATCAGAGAAGTTACACATGCCGAGGTTTTTGGTGAAACGTGCTGGGTGATAAAAATGGAGGAGTGACAATGACAGGTTTGTCAGAGAGTTTATTCTAAGCAGCGTTAAGAATGCTGGTGATCTTTGAAACTGAACAATGTGTCATCAGGCAATACAACCATGTGACAACTGTGCATCACACACAGACACTTCAGTGTTACCAAATTCCACATGAGCCCAGTTTGTGAGGGGATGAGAACCATTGCTTTCAGCTGTAACCACAGGCTACATGCTCAGTGCTAACAACAAATAATTTTGCTTATTTCATTTATGCAAAGTATGGAATTTGTTTGGTATAGGCAACATATCAGTTTGACACACAGAAGTTATATTTCTGCTTTACCACTTCTCTTGGGCATTGCCAGAGGTTTGGGGTTTTTTTTCATTTTTCATTGACTGAAGCGAATTATTTCCAGTCCATGACCACTTTAAACCATGAGAAAATGGATTTAAGGTAAGAGGAATTCTTTGGAATCTGCTATCAAAAAGTGTTCTTTTTATGACAAATTTACTTCATATGAATGTTGTCAACATTAAATTAATGTAATTTAAAGCAATTCTACATTGATGTGATGGACGTGTCAGATCTTTAGTGAGATCATTGCATGCAAGATGTGAGAAGGTGTGTTAATTTAATCAATGTCAGCCAAGGCTGTAGAATACATACCAGGTGATTTTACATGCAGGAAAGGAGCAGTTATGGAAATGAAACAAATAAAAAAGGCAAAATATTGCAAAACAAAATATTTTATTAGATGAAAACCAAACTATATGCAATTTATATTAGCTATATTACATCTTTATAAACATTAGTGAGCATTCTCTCCAAAACATATTAAGGCAGTGGCATCAATTTCATTATCCCAAGATACAACATTTAAAAAATAGATACCTAAGTGACTTCCCTTAAACATGCACCAGACATCAGTAATCTTTACAGGAATTTCAGCTTGGGTTCAAACATAATTTCTGCTCCATTTGAGAGTTTGCAACAGAGAGAATCTCTTACTTCAAGCTCTAGCACTCTGAATTCTAACAGCTCATTCTGGTCTTTTGCATCTTGCATCTCATTCTTCAGCTGATGCTCTTCTTGTTCCATTCTGTAAATCTGTGAGACAAACACAACATGGTAACCCTGTAAGCACTAGAAAAAATACTGCTTACAGTAGTAAGCAGGGGTTTAGACAAAACTAATTAATTATTAATTATTTCCAGTTTTCATTGTGCATCAGGCTGTGTCACAGAGATAAGAAAAGTATTCTATCAGAAAGTATTTCTGAGAGCAGTCAGCAGAAAATGGTCAATGTTCTCTTAGAGTAATAATCTGGAAGTAACATAAAACTTATATGAATGTTGTATCTAAATAAGTTAAGCAGTGGAAGTTTTCTTTTAAAATCCAGCAAATGAAACTGAATTACATTAACATTTGGGTAGGCTGTTCTCATTGTATTTGCCTAATTAGACATCTAATTTTTTATAGTATATGAAAGATAATAATGGTGTGGTTTTAACGAGCACTTTTTAATTTGCCAGAATTTTGCCTTGGGGTACTAACAAAGACAAAATAGAAATTCAATACTGGCTATTAATTATGCCAACTAATAGCTTTGGTCTACTGTCTAGTTTAACTGGGTGATCTTTTACTTTGTACAAAACTAAATAGAAGCGTAACATCTGGCATAATGTACTTTAACATTTATAGTGCCCATGTAAGTGCCCAAGTAAATTAAACCTGTCTTTAACTACTTTAATAATGACATTTTATTTGGTCATCTTATTTGTATTCTATTAATATTAAGCTACTAATTAACAATATCAGTTATTTATCTTCCTGAGTTGACTAGCCAACTTTCCCACTACTATCAACAAAGAACAATGCAGATGCTCAGCTCTGAGTAGCTCAGAGTTAATATAATAAACCTTAAATCAATCAGTATTACTTAATGTGTGGAAAAACTATAAAAACATTGAAGGGAGCAGGCAATTTTGCTAGTGGTCAGGACAATAACAATCTTTGTGTATCTGTGTATTTTATTGGACACTAGAAACCTCAGCCAGCTTGGGCTGCACCGGTGGCTATCCATGTAATTTCAAATAAAAAGCAGCTTTGATTCCTGAAGAATATAAAAGCATGTTGGTACTTTAATCAGAGATTGTTACTTAAATTTCTGTTTCTGATGAGAAATAAAGCAATTTCATGCTGATTTTATAGTACTTAGTGCATTCAATTTCTTCTATGACAAAGGGCAGCAATGGTGAAAATATTCCCACATACCTTCTCTAGCAACTCCTGATTTGTTCTAATTAACAGCTGCTTTTCTTCTACCCATTTTGAATCCTGTGAGGAAAATACATATGTTTTGTTAAGGAAGAGAAGTGAATGCCTACAATAATTAGATTTCAGACATCATTTTACATTCAAGTATAAAATGGTCACACACTGAAAAATAAAGCCATCATAAATGTTTCAAGGATGTACAGCATTTTATACAGTGAAAATAAAAGTTCCTTCCTGTAGCAGACTTTTGTTTCCTAGTATGTTTCAGCTAGCGTGTACTTTAATCTTTACATGTAGCAATTGTGGGTTACCAGAGTTATATGCTTTATGTCATTTTTAAAACATTTATTTACTCAGCTGAACTCAAAACTATTGCTTTCCATTGCAAAGGTTTGGAAACTTTCTTGCAAAATCATCCCATTTTAAGTAGTGCAATACAAATACAAAGGGAGAAAGGGCTGAAAATGGTTTTACTACCCCAAATGACCAAAAAGAAGCTGCAGGAATATAAAGTTAATTACCCTCTGCTAAAAATCTGAGAATCTGGCTAATACACAGTGTTTGTGACAAGGAATGCAAGGCTGTGGAGGAAGGGAAGTGATGCAAGACATTGTATACTCCATTTGGAAACTGTATTTCCAATTAATCACTTTTTCCAAAACACATCTTTCCTTTTAGGTTTTTCCATGCCTTCAAAAGGCCTCATCAAATATCCCTTTAAAGAGCCAAGCTACAAAACCTCATGGCCAGCCATAGCTGGACATTCAGATTTAATGGATTATAACAGCCAGATTTGCTCTTGTTTTTCCAACAGAGGAATCTATTTACATAACCTTTCTTATGCTATTCTAAAAGGTCTATTAAAACAATATCCAACACTTAATGTGCCATACTAACTCTAGATCAAATTATCTTCTAGGTTCAAGGGATAATTTATTTAAAATCTAAATGCCTTTACTAAAGTATTGAGGATGATGAATTCTTTTTCAGGAAGATATTTGCACACTGATGTTGCATAAGGAATCAATGAAATCTGGATATCCTAGCCCATCAAATATCCTTGAAATGTCAATCTTAATTATTATGATATTATATTGAGTCCAATTAGCATTTTGTTAAACACTTTAGTTTTTCTACTTACTGTCTACAACAATTTCATGTTGTACTGTTCTCTCTACCTTTTTCCATTCATGCACAAAAATGCATTTCATGTAATAAACAAGCTCTTCATGGTTGTGATGTTATAACATACTAAAATGAGTACTGAAAGGCATGACAGTTGTCAAGAATTTTTGAGGCAAGTGAAAGAAATGTTGAAAATAAAATCTGGTGTCTAGTTTACTATTTAACTAACATTTTACTAAGGTCAAGGAATGAAGAGTTGCATGCACAGACTTAGGGTGGACATCCCAATGCATGGATATGGTAAACATACCCACATGGTAAGGTTCAGCAGATAGATCAGACTGCAGCTTCAACTACTCCAGTCCACACAAGTAAAAAAACAGTTCAATCTGCTCTATTGATAATAAATTCCTGCATCTTTCTTGATGGAGTCCAACTACACTTTCTGAGCAAACCTGAACTCCAGCAGAACTGCATTTACACACCAGCCCACTGAGACAGTTGAGCATTCATCCATCTGGCATATTGCATACTCAAATACTTTTAGGCTTATTGTTTGCCATCATTTAAATATATTTAATATTATTTAGATATTTTCCATGATATGTTTTAAGGATTTCTTCACTTAACATAAAATTTCTTATGCATACACCTCAATGTACCATGCAGAAATGGATTATTAATTTTCTGTTACTTCTGGGGGAATACTGACAGGTCCAGCCAGAAGAGAGATTAACAAAAGCCATTGACAGTTACTTTGAAATTCCACATAAATTGTTATAAACCAAGCTTCACATAATTTTTTAACAATAATCTTCTAATCTCATGCTCTGAAATAGACTCCAGGAAATTTTCTGGAATAATACACTTAGATCTTTTGATTCATTATTTCCCTTTACAAACACATTCAGGGGATGGCTCCCAGAATGAACATTCCACAATTATTCTTAAATCATCATCACTACCATGGCATCTAAATGACAAAGTAGTAATTAAATAATTTTTTAAAAAATCACATAGTGCACAAAGAATTCAGTTTATCATACAACCATTTATTTTGTTGACTGTAAATACCAACAGCTCAGGAGAACCAAGCAGGTGCTAGAGCTCCCAGGAAGACGTTGTGATCCCCTCTGAGGAAAGCTAATGCTCAGTGTACAAACCAGCCCACTACAAATAACATCACAGTGCTCCTTGTCACATCCCTGTTCACCCTCTCGGGATTACTAAAATACAAAGTGGAAAATGCGGTTCTGAATTTCAAAGTAGTAATTGATTAAATTCTAATTTCCAGATATACCTTTTTGACATAACTCTCTTGCAGAAAAATCACAGAAGTAACTCCTTACATGGGTATCCAAATTCATTTATCTTTTTTACATAGACAGTACTTACATTATACACTGTTCAGTCAAATATCTTATTAATGTTTTCAACTACACAGCAGTTTGCCCACAACATCTTTCTTATCAACAAAGCAAAATAGCAGCAGTAAATGCTTGGGAAGTCTTTGGTTTCATTTATTCTTCCAGAAGTTCAGTGGGCCATCATTTTTAGATTCATAACATATTCTCAGTTTTTAGTAATATTGTATTTACATTAAATTCACTGAGTAAATTTCAATTTGTGTGGAAACTAGCATAAATTATTTTTGTCCTTAACTTGAATATGGTCCCCAAACCTTTGCATTGATACAGAACCCTACAGAAAATTTTAATTACAAAGAATAAACCATAAAAATAGTGTTATCATTCATTTGGCATTATATGTAAGTTGTGTCAACTGCTACAGGATCATCAGTCTTTGAAATGTATAACTGTAGCTACCTCTATCTTATTACTATAAGCTATCTGAAGACTTAAATTCTATTTCAAACAACAAAGCATAAAATAACATCTCCCCAATTTCTACTGTGTGTTTTAGCAGTCACACAACTGAACAACTTGCAAATGCATGCTCATAACTCTTAATCAGACTTCCTGAGGGCCCTAGACAATATTAAATATGCATCAGTAGACACATCTTTGATGAGTATTTACATATATTATATGTACTGAAGTACAAGGCCTGATTTTACTTTGTGTGATGGTTTGGGAATCTGAAAGCAGCTGGGCCCTCTGAGACTTTAAACCCAGGAGAGTAACACCTCAAGTGGCTCCCATTAACCTGACAGGCTCAGTGTTCCTCTCTCTAGTGTGCTTAGAAATTGGGGGTTTAAAACATTTTTCTTTGGTACACACCAAAAATACTCTCCAGTAGAAATATAGAATATTTAGGTTATTAGAGTTTATAACAAACAGTGACAAAATGGAGAAGAGGAGAAAGCCCTTCACCAAATGACAACGGGAACAGAATGTGCACATAGATGTGGTTATTTTAATACCATGCTTCAATGTATTAGTGTGTTAGAAAATGAGTCTGTAATGGCATTTTCTTAGGCTGCAAAATGCTTTCCTTTATTTGAGTGATGTAATGCTGCAGCAGCAGTTAAGCTGCATCATTGACACCAACACACCAGTAAGCAAGGAAGGTGGCAAGGGCACCACTGCACGCAGAGAACACGATGTGGGAGAGCACATTTAGAGAGCCTTTTACCTGCCCCTTCTCCATTAGAGCTTTCTCCAGGTCCTCAATTTTTGCCTGACACCTGAGAAGATCAGCTTGCAGTTGTTCACGAGTCTGTGGGGGGAAAGGGAGAAGGAGAAATCAAAAGTAAATATATTTTGTACTATTTTATGGGCTGTCCCATCAGCTTTTAATGTTTTTCATTAAAATAGTTGGGTTTTTTGTTTATGTTACATGAAATTTTGAAACTGCCAGTTTAACAGGATTTTTCCTTCCTAGCCTAAAAGGATGTTAACATCCCATATTCAGTGACAAAGTTCTTACCAGGGGAAGAAAAAAATTAATTTAGAAACTGGAAGAGCTCTAAGAAGCTATTCATAAGCTTTAGTAACTTAAGGCAATTGGGGAAAAAAGAACAAGGGAGAAAAAGAATTGCATTAAGTACTGAAAAAGGCCTTTAGGTAAATGAAATATATTGACCCAAAACAATTTACATATCCCATAAACAGCGCATGCTGGTGAGTTTTCCTCATTTACACGATTATTACACTCAGCACTACACTACAGTGGGTATTACACCCCATGTCCAGTGATGCACTAAATGGCACTGGATCATGGAAGGTACTAAACAAAAAAGGATATAAAACACATGTTTCTGGAGACCCTCAGCCACTGAGGCTCCTTGACCTACCACAAGTATTTTTTTCCACCCTACTTCAGGTACTTTTCCACCCAAGCAATTTAAATATTCCTATAGGGATTTTTTTCCCTGCATCTGTGCACCTTTGGGTACTTGCTTACCTTAAGCCTCATCTATAAATAATAGGAAATTATCATCCCACCAAAATAAACTATGCAAAAAGCTAATTTATGACTCACTGAGGAGATGGATTTGCAGGGGTGTACCAAAAAACCCAAAATAACATTAAAAAGAAATAGCAGCAATTTCCAAGATTACAAAAAATACAGTCTGTAAATGCCTGCAAAATAAAATTTTAAAAAACCCATGAAGGCAAAGAAAATATATAATGGCCTCTCATAATTGGCAAGTAGATGACTGCCCCTGAAATCCTTTTTTAACAGTAGATGGAGTTATGCCTTCCATCCTAATTCTATCTTGAGAAGTGATCTTCAAAGTCTTTACAGCTTTCCTTGGCTAAGTGTCCTACTTAAAAAGAGAGTGTCAAAACTGACTAGGCTTTTGTAAGATGCTAAGAATTCTAATAAATAAAGCCATGAAGCAGTAATTCTACTATTATAAGAACTATATTTCACAGGAAAAAATAAAAAATAAGTGTAGGTTGGTTGAGTCCTTTCCTACCAGTAAACACTTTAAAATCATTTTCCTTCTGCATTCTTAGCAACACACTGCAGTGGCACAGTACAGTGGCCACATGTAGCAAAGCAGTAACATACAATAATCACAGTATTTAATATGTTTCTCCATTTCTGGGGTTTGGGGAAGTTGTAGTGGGAAGACAGTCAGGGGTTTTTTAACTGTCCAACTTGGTGTCCATCAGGAGTCCCCACTTCCTGTTGAGCAAAACTGCTTCCCAGTGTGCCAGAACCAAGATTTGGGTCAGATATTTGATTCAGATTTGGGAGATTTTTAATATAATCATATGATGGATGTACCTATGCCCTTGTAACAACCTTCCCTGTGATTCATTTAAAATCCATCATGTCACTATCCAAATTGCAGGTTCAAATGGGTTATCACTCTCATAGCATAGAAATCTTTAATATATTATACATGCTAAAATAAAGTATAATGACATCTTTGTTCTGATTGCACCAGATGAACCTAAATTATCACCTTACTTATGACATCCTCTAATCCTCAAAAACATTGGCTTTGCATTTCACTGACCTGCAAAGATACCTTCTGCTATTACAAATGGTTTCAGCTTTTTCTATTAATCAGATTTAAAGAATTTCAGTTAAAAAATTACCCTTGCTTCTCTCTCTGCATCCAGAGTTCCACCAACTTGTTCTTGGAGCAATGCATATGCTCTTTGCAAAGCTTGATACTCTCTTGTTAGCTGGCAAAACCTGAGTTCAGCTTCTTCTTTAGGCGTGCTCTTAATGAAAAGAGGGGGGGAAGTGGGTTAGTAAAAATGTATTTAATAATGGGTTTGTCTGTACAGAAGACAGACTCACAAACAAGCAACACAACTCATACTAAGTCTCAAAGTTTAATAAAGGTATGAAATCCTAAAACAAGTGGAAAGGAAAGGAGCTGTGTCTACCACACAACTTAAGGACAGTGTAAGTTGCCATGTAAGACAGCAATGTACAGAAATGGGAAAACTGTCTGGGGAAAGATGAAACAGTTTTGTGCAACCCTGTCTTCAGCAACTCCAGAGCCAGAGGGGTCTCAGAAGGTATTTGTTCTATTTCTCATTCTGTCCACCCTTCCCTCCTTACACTTGTTCTCTACAATGCCAGGGTAAAGCACACTGACACAGAAGTTACATTTCAAAATTACTTCACATATATTTTCTTAAATTTATTCTTTTAACACAAAGTATTTTCAAAGTCATTATTTTCCTTGAATGTTAAGCCACTAACTTTAACACTTATAAAGTCCTTCCTATATGGCTGAGGACAAGAAATGTCCTTCACTTTAATTAACTTTTGCTCCAGGAACTTGAGTTTTAAAGAAAAGAGATTACAATATTATTAGACACTAAACCTAGGAAAAAAGGAAGCTTCTTCTGAGGAGTATTAGGCAGAAGTTAGTGAACAAGAAAGAAAGATGAAAAAGAGCATCTAATTCGTGCTTTGTGCTCACGCCTGCAATCTTCCAAAGTAGGCTGGCAGCAGTGAATATCACAGAGCTGGGACAAAACATGTCACTGGGTATTTACTACCTGTGATCATCTGAGCCTGTATGAATTGCAAAGGACTCTCTGAGTATTGTGAGCAAAGAAAGAAAATCCTGATTGTATCAAAACAGTCAAATAAATTATAAGGTTGAAAGGCAAACTATTGTCTAGTAAGTATTGACTTTTGGCAAAGAAATATGCCTATTCATTTTCTTTTGACTAATAAGAAAGAGTTTGAGGAAAAAAAAATTCTTACACCAATATCTGCTAAATCTGTTAGAATATTATCTTATTAATCTTATTGCAAAGTGTATATGTTACCAGACTTGAAAAAAACCCAAAGGAATTCTCTGCCAAATCTTTCACAGTTCATGTGGTACAACAGCTGAAAGTTTGTATTTATACTTCAAGAGGTAGAAAGAAGAACTGATCAGTTACCACTTACATCTTCCAAATCTTCTTCTGGTGTTGCAGGTGTCCTGTCTGTTTTATCTGTGTTGTAGGAAGTTACAGATGAAGTTTCTGAATCAAGAGACTCTTCATCAAATCCAAAAAATGTCTCCACAACATGCCTCTGAAAAATTAGGTTTTTTTAGCTAGTAGCAAAACAGATGAAAATCCCCAATGACCCAGTAAGTAGTAACCATAGGTCTTCTCTGATGATTATTTTAGTATTTAGAAAGAAAGAAATGTTCCAGTGCAAACTCTTCTCTGATTAAATACATTACTTTTCCAACATAATTTGACAAGAACCTCCAAGAACAGAACTGGACGTGGAACAGAGATGAGGTAAATACCAAAAGAATAATGCTTTAGCAAAACTATAAAACCTAATTACCAAAATCACACAAGTCCTTACAAGATTCACAGTAGAGAAATCCAGTATCTATTCAGAAGAAAGTAAGCCAGTACAAGGCAACATATAAGATGTGCAACCAAAAGGAAAAAAAGTATTCTGGAGACCAAGGTGGAACAAATTTAATTGCTCATACTAATTGCAAAAAGAAAAAAAAAAAAAAAAAAAAAAAAAAAAAAAAAAAATCCTATTTTGGAAAACCCTACCTAAAAGTATAAATTTATGCTTACAATTTTTCTTTTCAGTATCATCATTCTCTTTTGTTTTTTTTTTCAAACAGTTTGCTCTGATACTATGTCTAACCAAAAAGACATGTCTAGGGAAAAGCAGCATTGCACTGCAGATTTAAAAAATTTTACACATCATTATCAATTAAATACATGCTCAGAGAAAATTAGAGAAAATGAGTAGCTAGTGGAAATGAGTACAAAATCATTTGTGAAAAATGTGATTTTTTTAAAAATAAACATAGTCACTGAAAGCAGCATATTTCCATGGACATTCAACTGTTAAAAAAAAGTTTATAAATTTAACTAGAAAAAAAAGGTTTTTAACTGTTATTAATGAATAGAAAGCATAACTTCTTACACCACACAAATCCAACACAATTTCAGAGAAGCAAGAAAACTGAAAATATTTTTTTAAAGGGCGTTGCTGAGAAATGGATTCAGGTCATGAAGCAGCCTAGACAGACAAGGTAGTGGAGACAGGTGGCTGTAAGAAGATGGAGAAAGATCTCTACATGTTTTGCCACTGCTTGATACTGAAGCACAGATCCTGATGTCACAGTTTGCTGTTTGGGTCTTTTTCAAATACATGTCAGAAGTTGTCTATGAGAAGATAATAGCTTGTTTATTAAAATAGTCATATGGATTAGAAATTATCAGTTGTTATTAATTCCAAACATCACGAATCCTACATTTCAGCAAAGAATTGTTATCAATCAATTTAATTCAAAGTACAGAAAAGTTTTAACTATAATGCCCTCTCTCATGATGATTTCCAAATATTTATCTTTCCTTGCAGTTTTCCAGACTTACCTAACCTTAGAGATTTTTTCCAGTATAATTACATAAGTATGGTCTTCTCTTTCTCACAAAGCCCTAATGCTCACTATATACTTTTGGTTCAGCACAGCTCTCATCAGCAGTCAAAATACTCTGTTTTGATTTCAGAGGTACCAAAAAATCAAGCCTGTAGGTGTGACTTTTTGCCTGCATGGATGACACCATGTGCCATTGCCAGGCTGCTGCCCTGGTCACCACAGTCCACCAGGTCACAACCTGATCACTCATAAGCTGAACAAGTCCATAATAGTTTCACAGTACAGTTAATTCCACTCAAACTGCCAAATACAGCTCCAAGGTCATGTCCTGAATCACTCAACTGCTTCACTTAGAAGACCCCTTCAAACAGTACTTAAAAATTTTCATTCAGAAACCCAAAAAGCCATATCTTTTCTAAACAGACTGTGTGTATCCATATGCATGCAGATAAATATGATGCAGCACAAAAGGCAAAGAGCTTCCAAACAACCTTGAGAAACAAATTTCCTTTTGCAAGCTACTTGACCACTACTTTGTGAATTCATAGGATCACAGTTATAATGCCACAGTGCTGGAAGGACATTATTCTTTCCTCACTTGTTCAGGAAGGACTGTGATCTGCCACCAGGCAGAGCTAATGTCCAAGGTGCTTAAAACAAACAGTTCCCTGGGATAATCTAATTCTTTCCTCCAGCATTCACCAGTTCACCTTTCTGCCCTACTTAACAAAACAAAGGGCACAAGGAATAGGTTTAAGCTCTAGTCTAAAAATACAAAGACTTATCCAGAAAGCTAATGTATTTACTCTCACTCAAATTAAAACCATTTCAGACTTTCTAAGTTCAAAGGTTTACCACAAAACACAAGGGGTCATTAGTCCTTGGGAGATGGCCCATCCATCCCATGGCTTTCCTCGCCCACGAAATACTGGTTGCAGTTTACAATCACGTAACAGTAATACTACAAATAAATATTGAGTTGAAAATAGGGCTAAAGAAATTGTGCGACTTCAAGTTGTAAGGAAGACAAATTTACAACCTGAGTAGCCAGCTCAACTCACTTTCCTGACTCCAAACTGATCTGCAGATATGGCTTCATAAACAAGAAGGTACATTTTATGGAACTAAAGAAGATGGTGGCAGGTAAACAAAGTGCCAAGTCTTGACTTTGCAAAGGCTCGCAGAAGGGACTTCTAAAAGATGGAGAACAAATCTCCAATTTATTATCATATGGCACAGAGATCACACTACCATAAGAGTCAGCAGCAGCTGAACTTAAGTGACAATAAAACCTACCTACCTACCTGTGGGATTTTTTGCTACATCTCTGTTGTACAGTCACTTTTAGATAACTCAGGTCAAATACATGTCTTCCTTTCACCCTGCATGCATGCAGCCACCCATGCCATTTCAAGAAATGAAAATAAATTAGCAAAACAACAGTGCTCTTGATTTTAAATAAAGGTATATAGGCTGGAGAAAATATTTAAAGCAATGTCATTATTGTGAAAAATAATTTGAACATTTCACTTGTAGCAAAAGTAGGGGAAAAATATATACACATCAATAAATAAACCACTTGATTATTAGATATGAGGGAATTCTGAAAAAAAACCCTTAGAACTTCCCATCACAATAAAAACCCCAACACTTAAAGGAGAGTTAAAAGTCAAAAACTTTTAAATGCTGTAAAGACTACCTGTAATATTTGGGGTTAACAAGTGAATGATTTATTTTTAACACTCCTCTATTTTTAGAAAAGCTGTATATTTATCATTTTGTGGAGCAGATCCATTCCATAGCAATAGAGATAAGGTATTGAATAACTGTATATGTATGAATGACTGCACATGTATGTATATACTGAATTACTGCACACATATGAATTGCTTCATGACATAATTACAAAATAGCCAGTTTTACTGTTGATCATCTAGTATCTGAAACAACCAACTATGAGAACTGATTCAGAGCAAAACCAAAACAAATTAATTCACAAGGGAACAGCTGTAGAGAGAAAAATAAAAAAAATACTTGAAGAAAAGACATGTGAGTCAAAGTTGTAGATAATAAATTATAAATAAAGCATCAATAAATACATCAAATCCAAGGGAGACTCCACGCATGCCTCAATTGTTTCTGAAAAGCATACAGAAATGCACAATACTCACTGCATTTTTCTAACTATATAAACCATGTTATTCAAGTTTCATTCAAACTTTTTTTTAAAAATGGAAACGTTCTGAATTAGCAACTTAGAGATCGCTTTATATTTGTTTGCACTTTTCTTATTTCTAGATCACAACTTCTTAACTGAGAAAATAGTCATGTAAATTGCAGAAAAATTCTGATTTGAATTCTAATTTCCACTGACTACTATTAAATGCCATGCATTTAACAGCAAGTATTTTTCATGTGGATTTATAGCGATGTTTTCACATACATTTAAAGTAAAATTATGCATTAGGTCTTTATAATTCAAGTATTAATACTTCTACTGAATTATGGTGCTCAGTAAACATCAAAGTTTAGACTACTATAAATCAATAGTGACACATAAACTACATTATATGCAAATTTCAATATAATCTGATTTCTCTGCTGGTAAAGTAGTTTCATTTTACATTTAAATATCTCATTTTAAGGGATCTAATCAAACATGATGAAAAAGATCCAAGATACATTTCCTTGTAATGCAATCAGATGTGTTCATCAGCAACTTCTTACCTTCATGCTTATATGTCATTTCTTGGCAGCCAGAAAAATAAAGGCACACCAAGGCACAGAGGCAGAGGAAAAAAGAAAAATATAAAACAAGAAATATGAACTCCATCACACCAGTGTGCAGGCTTTCCACTACTGAGAATACAGTTCATTTATTAAAGTTTAAAAAAAGGCACAATCCACAGAGTCCCACAGTTACCAAATAAGCTGGGTAAATATGTCTTACTTTCAAAAGCATGACTCCAGCCAGCATGGAATGAATGTACCTCCATTCCACATGTCAAAAATAAATAAAATATAAAAAATACTGCATCTGAAGTTTCTTGGTTATTTCACAACAAAAATTGAAAAAAAAAAATTTAAAAAGCACCTTGGAAAAAATCAGGTACCTGACTATATAGAGTCACTAATCACTCCTCTGAAGACCCAGCAAGCACAGAGGTTATAAAGCCCATCCCACTTTGCTGCTCCTTTCCTTGGGGAGCCTGAACCAGTTGCCAGCATTGTTCTATGGACTCCTTGGGAATTAAAAGAGTGCTCAGTGAAAGCTTCAGTAGCAACAGTAGCCTGGTGCACCTACAGAGCTCCAGAAATAACACTGATAGCTAATTACAAAACCAAGAAACACAGAACTGTCAGAAGCTTCTCAGCTGAGCTGATGTTCAGGGCTGTAAAGGCTACCAGCAGATCATTCACACAAGATGTCTCAAAGATGGAGAAAGGCATTCCAGGGATTCTGTTCCAGATAACACAAACAACTGTAAGAAAATACTCTTTAGAAAACAACCACAGACTCATTAGAAAAGCACCACAGACTCTCTGCAGTCAGACCATCACAGGAATGAAGGAAGCTGGAGTCTAAAAGCACCCATTTAGGAAAATCTGCAGCAGATGAGTGTAAATCTTCACCCTGCGCACCACGTTCCTGCTTATTAGAACAAAAAAAGAATCATTCTATACCTTCCAAAATGAGCTTATCTGACTATTTTCATGAAACCTCATTCTCATGAGTTATTTCCTCCTTCACTTTGTCACAAGGAATGGGACACATCTGGAAATAGATACAACCCACCAGCCAAACTTGTTAGTACACTGTGTTAACCCTAATTTTACATTTAACAAACCTTAAAAAAGCAAAGCCAAAGACTTAGATCAGCGATTTCTTTTTCCAAGTGTTTGGTTAGGACAGAGGTTAACACATAATTTCACTACTATTCTATACAGGTTATATGGTCTGTATGAGATAAAAAATCTTGCACAGATAATAGCCAGAAATACACTTAAGCTGTGCATGTCTACATATAAAACAACTCATCTTAGACTGCCTTTATAGTCTGTGGAGAAAAACAGGCAATTTTAGGCCAAAGCTCCTATGTCCTATTTAGATATCTACTTCCAACCACTTAATGTTACCACTTGGTCCAGAGTGAGATGTCTGTATCTCATGTCCATTACTGACATCTAACCAACATTTGCAACAGTTGGATAAATAAATTCCTCAATTTTCTTCTGGATTCCCGATATAGGCTGTAAAAACAGAGGTGATGAATTGGCAAAATCCAGACTCATCTGAGCACCTCATTCCACTTGGATTGTTTAAATTAACTGTGGGAAACACAGCTTCCTTTCAGGATTTTGATCCTCACTGGACCACACAGGTGGTCTGGAAGGAAATCAGCCAGGATTGGGTTTTTAGAAGTTAACACCAATTGCAGTTAAACTGTGAGTCAATGCTGCATATAAACGTAAATATTCTACAGGTTTATCCATTGCCAGGTAATGGCACAGTAGTATCATTGATTACTTCGTTCATTCCTTAAGGAATTAGCTCATTTAGAAAGTTTAAATGCAGTTATAAATTAACTATATTAACTAGTGTGTATATATGGTGTAATTACTATAGTAGATACAATCTCTTTTGCTCTTCTCTCATAACCTTCTCTTTTTTCACTTGTTTTTGTCTTATAGTCCTGCTTTTCCTTTCAGGAGATAGCATCACACAGAATTTCAAATGGTCACCCTAGCCATTGAAGAGCTAATGGACAGGGGATGGAATAATTTGGAGCAGAAATGCCTGCTACTGATTCATTTGTTCTTTCTGATGTTTCTTTTCTATCCTAAATAAGAATCACATCCCAACTAACTCTGCTGCCCATACACATACAATTCTTGCAGTATAGTCAGCAGAATTCCCCATATTATAGCACTCAGCAAACAGAAAATAGCATTGCCACAAAATTTTTAATGGTATCATGCCCATTCTCTCCAATCCTTGCTTTGGTTGATAAGGAAAAGAAGAAAAGACCACAAAAGTATCAGGTTGCTCAAGACACATCAGGTGGCACCTGTGTCATCTGAAGCTCTACTAACACAGAGCACTTCCAAGACATAAATGCATATTTATTGAAGTTTTCAGCCTACAGAAATTCTCATCTCCACTTACCAACACCTAAAAATTTACTTAACTAGCTTTGTTTCATGGGGAATTTTACAATTTAGCAAATGATCTTACACATTTGACATACAATCAGATAAAGGCCAATAATTAGAGAAAACTATAAAAAAATACAGTATAAGTTACATACATCTATATATATTTACTTTTTTATTCTTTTTAAAAATTCCTCTCAAAACACAAATTTCCAGTCATACTACATCAAGAAAGAATGGTTTACAGTTGCTGCAGATATATTTGGCAGGTACTATTGTTACTTCTGATTTTTTTTCCTTTTTTCCTATGTAAAATACACATCATTATTAGAAACAGAATTTGAAGAAACTACCAGTGAAACAGAGAGTCCCAAAGGATAAATTTTTCAGAATATAGGCATTAGAGTGCAGAGCAATAAAAAAGCACCACCTGGAGGTTACCAGGAATAGACTTTGCAGAACACACTGACACAAGGCACCCATTTATGACAGACTATATCTTAAGCTACTATATAGATGATAATGATAGCTCCACTCTTCATTTCCATTTTTTCCTCTTACTCCATTTCCCACCTCCCACACACATGCTCCAGGCTGCTAATGTTCAACTTCACAAAAAACATTATTCAGCAAATTACTTTTAGCACATTACAAGAAACTTTAAGGGTACTTTCTGAAGCAAAACTTCTCTGCTTTTATAATCTGAATTTTTGTCTTGAACCCTGTATTAGTTATTAACGCATAACAGTTGGAATTGTCTTACTACTTACATATCACATACAGAAGATTATTTCAGTAACATTCCCAGCATGACTTATTCTTTAATTGTGATTTAGCTCTATGTTGGTACAAGGAGTTTAAAGGGGGTATGTTCTTTAAAGCAGGCTGAATATCTGTCCATTGAAATAGTAGTTGTTTCAAGCCATTAAATTGTTATGCCTTGAGTCACTTGAATATTTAGGCTACAGTGGCTAAAAGTGTAATTTTATTTTTTACTTAAAACAAACCCCAAAACATTATTTGTGTGAAGTACAAAACTCTTGAATTACCCCAAAAAATGAAGCACTTACCAGTAAGTGTAAGCAAAAGAATTATGGGATTTTTCTCATTAAGCAGAGCTTTAAATTCAGGCAGTATTTAAATTCAGTATTTATTAAAAGTATTCAAATTAGGCAGTAAGAGGTGTTGTTCACAGCATCAGAAATGCACGAAAAACCGAAGGTTTGCTCACCTTTGGAGGCTTCAGACTTTTCCTCCTCTGTTTTTTAGACCGCAATAACCGTTCTCTTTCCTAGAAGGAAAGAGAACATTTTGGTATGGGTTTGTTTTAAAACTATACTTAGATATGTCTAACACAGAGAAATACCATTAACATTTTCTTTAAGCCTCTGGTAAAGCCAACACAACGTCTTTATCCTTTTGATTAACACCATGTTACACCACACTGCACTGCAGCTTTATGCCTTCAGCAAACAAACCTTCAGCCACGTACTTCACGCATTTGATGGGAAGTTGGCAAGAAAAGGCTTTGTTAAATACTGAGCACAGATTTCTGACAGTTCTTTTGACTCTTTTACCAAGAAGCTCACTATGGAAACAGAATTCAGAGTGTCACTCCAGTGTTCAACCATCCTGAAGCAGCAGGTCAGTAGCCAAAAATTAGTCCAGTCTCAGTAATTAAAAGTTATTATATCAGACATATTCTGATATAAATGCATGCATATGCAGATACAGTGTTACATCTGACTTATCCTTGCAGGGCAAAAGTCTCAAATCCAAAGGCACACTCAGTCTCTGTCAGCTTAGTCGCTGTCTTTTTTCTACTCCAGCTTTGGTGCAAGATCACAATAACTATACCATGACACGAGGAGGCCATGACTGAAAATGCAAGATTTATGTTTGTCTAAATCCAAGAATACTGCCTCAAATTCCAAAGGAGAAGAAGAGGAAGAGAAGGTAAAAAAATGCCAAGGAGCAAGCCAAAAAACTCCAACACAGGAGGCAGGTGCTCTGTCTTCTTGCTTTTTCTGATTCTTTCCTTAGCTCTGCATCTTTCTTTGCAGCACCTCTATTTTTAAAAGACAGATTGCAGTTCCAAGTGCTTCTTTAGCAGTTATTGCTTACTGCATGGTATTATTCTATTCACTTATTTGCTTTGCATTCAGTTCAGAAACTGGAAAAATAGGAAGCTCAAAGTAGAAATCACAACAAAATTGTTTATCAGCACATTGTTCCATGAAATAAGTGTTGGAAAATGTAAAATAGCTGAGAGAAGTACAACAACTTACACAGCACCTTGAATACATGTGGTTTGAAAAATAAAGAAAACTAATGACTGCCAAGGTAGAATGGTGCAGGTATTTCAAGCTGCAGAATAATATAACATTTTAAGCTTAAAAAACCAGACAGTTGAATTTTATACTGTTAAAGAAGAGTGCTGTCTTCTCAGATGTCCATTTAAGGCACATTTCCTGCTTTAAGTGGGCTGTTCTGCCTCCCAAGCAGGTGTCCAAACAAATGCAGTGCAGAATGAACAAACACTTCCAAGTCTTCCTGTCTCTAGTCTTGTTTTTAAGAAGACTGCTTAATTTACTTCTTCAACATAAATCAAGCTACAAGAGCAATAATAATGCCAATTGAATCCACTAGCATCTTTTGCAGTCATCTGAGTTTATCTTGACAGCTTTCCTTTTAAGAACTGACCAGAACACCCTGTTGTGAGAGAAGTCATGTTGACAAGCTTTCAACAGCATCAAAGATACCCTACAGATGACACTGTTAATCAGTTCACACAACCCTACTGCCTAAGACTACTGCTCTTATTTCCATGTATCATATTGCTCTCAGCTGGAGTTAAGCTGATTATTTTTGTATTAATCAGATATGGGACATTTGGGTCATTCTTGGTAACTATGATACATTTGTAATCTGTAGAGGTGTGGTTTGGGCCAGAAAAGAGAGCTCAAAAGCAACAGTGCACAGAATTCCACTGCATTCACATTGAAGGCAAAGGCTCAGTTAGTTTGTACTGGAACCAAAGAAGTTTCCTAATTAAAATTTTAAATAATTTTAAGTGGAATAGTATCTGTAAGTAGGAAACAAAGCAAAAATGAAACAATATTTTAAAATATTTATTTATTTTACTTTTACACTAAACACAAGTTAATATTATTTGACCAAAGTCAGGATACAATATATTTCCTCATATCACTAGCTGAGACAGTAAAAAGAGAATCCTCTCATACCCACTTTGCACTGAAATATAAATGAGGTTTCATCTGCCATATACTCACATCTAATGTCATATCACCATCCCTTCCTATGCAGTTTTACTTGGAAGCTAAAGCAGCATCACCCTGTGGACCAGACCCTACATCATAGCATCTGAGGAACATCCTACTGCTTGTAACACTGGGACACTGGGGAATGCACACAGACATCCAACTTTGGCACTGATTTCAGAGAAAAATCCTGGGCCAAAATCTCAGAGAACTGGCAGGAACTGAGACAATGTTCCACATACAGTAATAACACACCTTTTTCCTTTTTGGAGCTTCTATATTTATTTTCAATGATGTATCCAATTCTTTAATTTTCTATTTAGACAGAAGGCTTTTAAATTATTTTTATCATTTTGCAGCTGTCAGTAGTGCCATTTGAGATGTCTGAGTCTGCCTGAGTTCCAGATGCTGCTCCAGAATGGCAAGAGTCTCTCAGAGATTATGTGCAAATTTCTGCCAGCACCAGAAGGGTTTATCACAAATTGCACTAAATAGCACCTCTAACACAACTTGAAAGATTCCTCATCAAACACAACTTGAAGGGGTCCTGTGAACATCAAACACTGCAAACATCCATGAGCATCACCTTCAGAAGCCTTCTGAGTCAGAGGGCAGCAGCTGGGCAATTCTAATCCTAAGCCATGCTGCTCCCTTTGGTTTGATGAACCACACAGAGTTCTCCCCATCTTTTTAAAATACAGCTTGTATGGCCAGCTCAGCTAGAGATGCTCAGCCAGGTGAAATTAATGACACCATGTTTCCTTCTTTTAGGAGAACTTCTAGATCAGGGGAGTGCTTGGGTTTGCATCCAACACATTTTAGTCATTAAGTTTTGGAAAGTCTCCTTTACTCAAGTTCCTCATTTGTTGACAGCCAGTTTTGTAAGTAAGGCTGATCATGCACTTTTTTTCACAAGCAGCTCATAATAGGTAAATATTTTTAATACAAAGATTCATACACATTCCAAAAAAATTCATTCACTACCTGAGAAAAAAACAACAACCCTTTGACACCAAAGTATCTCTATATCACTACTACAACTGGAGTCAAAACATTCCTCTCAAATCTTTAGCTTGCCTATAGATGTGTGTGCATGCACATGTGTATACCAGTCATAAACATTACCACTGTGAGATCATCAATAACATGCTGTTGTTCTTTGACTTGCAGTCTAAGGAATTCAATTTCTTGTTCCTCTCGTGTGCTGCTGAGATCATTCAAAGATGTATGCCTCTTCAATGCTGGTTGTGCAGATAACTTTTCTTTCTACAAAAATAAAAAACATAAAGAATGTTTTAAACTGCCTTGCTGCAACAGGAGAAAAACTCTCATGTGTCATGTAGCAACCAAGAATTCTTTGAACCCATCAGTGCATACTCCACTACAACACAAGGTCTCTTTCAACAAAAAAAACCCCTCACATTCTATATGCCTCTGTGTTAATCTCTCACATAAGATATTTTAGAACAGAATCAAAGAACAGTCTGGGGAAAAAAAAATTAGCAGACAAGTGAACTCAGTGATCTAGCATAGTGCATGCACTCAAATTCAGTTCTGACTTCTAATCATAAAAGCAGTATTTATTAAAGCTGATTTTTAGTCACAGTTTTTTACAGCCTGCATTTAAAAACATAAAAAAATAACAAGATAAAAAAACATTTTATCTCTCTGGGCTCCTTTCCCTTAATCAGTGTGAATTGATATAACACAAAGCACATGCCACTCTGAATTTAGAATATGAGTTTTCAGCTGTATTGTCTGCATTTGACAGTTGCACCATCCCACTGTGGAGACTGATGTGTTTGTTAGAATAAAAGCCTCACAAGCACTTCCAGCTCAAAGTAACTGTGTGCAATGTGCTCTCATAACACAACGTTGGAGATGATTACTTACCAGAGATGGTTACTTACCAGTTCTACATTTTCCCTTGATAAGTTTTTTATTTTCTCTTCCATTCTCTGGATGCATTGTAACATATCATCATTTTTTTTGCTCATCCTCTTATTTTTTTCTACCAAAGGCTTCAGCTGACTTTCTGTCTCCCGAGAACGTTTCAGCTGCAAATGGCCAAGGAACAAAGTTAGCAGTGCTTGTTTACCTTTGAAGGAAAGGAAAAATAGCTCTGTTTCCACTTGCTTTTCTTAATTCAGAAAGTTCAGCCTCTTCTGCTAAATGGCATCTGACATACACCACTGCTGAACTAAGAACTACAGCAGTCCAAACAAGAAAGATATAACATTTTTGCATTGTCTGCCAAAAAAACTAAATCTGGTCACTGGATTTTGCTCTTGGCAAACACTTATGGTGATCCATAGTGACTTCTTTATGAACTAATCTCAATAGATATAAGCTTCTTGTGACCAACTAGGTCTCTAGACAAGTTGTTTTCACCAATTTAGCCATCCCTGAAGAGGAGGACACGCTTTCTCCACTTAATGCATAATTAGAGCAATGAGAAAGTCAGCCAGAGGGCACAGATTCAATCTCAGCATTCTGCTGACATTTTCAAGCTGCTCAGTTTTGCTCCTGTGGTTTTATAATGTTAGACAATTATGTGAAGCAAATTACTGCTCTTACTTGTATTTGTGTGTATTTATTATTTCACTGGTTTTGGTTCATGAGCTGTTTTGTTTGGGAAAAAAATCAATTTTTCTCAGTCAAAAGATTTTTAAATTTGCTAAGTTTTATCTGAAAAGGAGAAAGAGATAATATTTGTTTTCCTGAGATAAATTCACTGAGTATTTGGTTTTCTGTTTCAATCTTGAGAAAACATTTTTCATAGTGCTTAATCACATGGCCTTGCTAATACTACTGATTTTATGTGTACTATTGTCTTATAATATAAAAACTGCTTTACATCTCTCTCAAAATATTTTTCTTATGTAACTGAATCTAGAATCAAGAAGAACACTTGACTGAGTCATACATGCCCTCCATCTAGAGGGACACTGAGGTATACATTGAAATATTTCAGCATTCTTCAGGGATGTTTTGAATTATTTAGGCCCACAGAAAAGATTAACAAGGAAGGAGATGTCAATGTGTCACAAAGCCACCAATGTTTCACTCATCTGTAGGACTGACACATGGCACCACTTCAGCCCTCAACATAATTTTAGAATCAGATGTATAGATTCTGTCTTTTTAGAATGAAAAATCTTTTCTACTGCCACTAGAATTAGGGCATTAAGGGACATTGTGAAACTCACCACCCATTGCAGTCAATGGGAGTTTTAACCATTAACCTCAGTACAAGCAATTAAGTACTGATAAAGGCTGATAAAATTAATTCTTAAAATTCATGTCATATCCTTTTTTGTCTAAGTTACTATCCCTCTTCTAGGATAATTTCACCTACTTAGGAGACTTCCCTTGAGAAATGGCAGATTTTTCATCACTAGCACAAGAAAGGTTTTTAACTCCTAGCTAGAGTAAGCATGTCACAGAGACAAATTTCCAAAGGATGACTACAGCAATTTAAGCGCATGGATTATGCATGTTTTACACAACATCATTACACAGTGCTACAGGCAACATACCAGTTAATTTCATTACTATGACCCCAAAACAAATCTGTAAATTTTTATTTTTGTGGAACAGGAAAGATTCCATCCATATCTTCTATGGTCACAAGATTAATTTCTATAGAAATCTCTGTTACATTTAGATATAATTGACTGAGGCCAACCAGGACTAATTTGTAAATTATTTATAACACTGACTTTCCAACATTAAATCTTTTGCCATAGAGATGCCCTCCCAGTCACCATCTGTGTTATTACTAATTAATTTACCAGTTCATTTCTTTCATCTGCTAGGAGAGTATTTCTGTCTTCCAGCTTTCTTATTACAGCATTCAGTTCAGCGATTTTTAACTGAAATCTCCGCACATCTCGTTCATCCAGGTGCTGCTCCTTTACATCAAAAACATACAGATTTATAAAATTACTTTTTAAAAAATATTTTACTGTCCATAGTTTACTATCATAGCTTAGCAACTGTATTGTGTAAGTTTAAAACAGACTCATACATCAGTATCTGGGAAATTTACTATAATTAACTGAAACACTAAATAACAACATCCTGGGAAAATTCTTCATGAACAGCATCTTGTGAAATGCATGTAAAGTTTAACAATTAAAAAACTATCTAGGTAAATAATATTTCATATATAGCAGGTTACTTCTCACCAGATTTCTTACTCTCAGCTAAAGTAGTTCTATTGTAAAGGATATAAAATAAAATCACATTACTCAATTTTTGAGAAGTATAGTACCTATTTTCTAATGGTTAAAATATTCCTAAATTAATGAAATAGTGAGAAAATACTGAGGTTCACAGATCAAGATCACAGTGTAATTTCTGGAAGTTCTATATCCACATATTTCTCAATATTCTTTGCAATTTAAGAGGTCCAAGGAGTTTTTAAGTCATCAGTAAAACAGCACAGTGCAGCATCAGGCCATTTTACCATTAATTGGTCCTAGTAGCAACCAAAAAACCAAAGTGAACACCCAGGCAGTTCTCCAGAGCTGAATTTCAGAGAAAACTCCATTTTCTTACCGGACTTCCCATCAGTTCACTGATATCTCCCACTCCTGCAGGAAGCTCCCTCTTAGGACTACTGTGGTATCGTTCTGCCTCCTTCACCTGGACAAGCTGCTCATCCAGAGCTTCTTTCTGAAGGAGCAGTTTCTGGGTATGGCCTGCCTGGACACCAAGGTCCTTCTCCAGAGCCAGAATCACCCTGTCTTTGCCTTTTATCTCATCCATCTGGAAAGAAATAATGCATGAAGGAAGTTTCTGTAACATCCCCAAGTGCTCACTGCATGGAAACATACACATTTGCAAAAACAAAGTTCTTTTTCTCTCAGAATTGAACCAGCACTGAAACTGTGGCTGCCAAAAAGAAAATACATCTTCTCTGTAGTCTTTTTCTCTGTCCTTAAAAAAGGTTCAGCCTTCACTCGATCAAGAGTTTCCTTGGTCCAGTCTCAACTCAGACACAAACAAAACCAGAGGCAAACATGCAGTGAAACAGAATACACAGCCATGAAAACATCCACTTCACCTAAGGATACACACTTCTGTACAGAGAAGAAAAATCTGCTTTCACTATGTTTCGGCAAAGAAACACAATTAGTACAAGATAAGACAAACACACCCTTGAAAACTCACCTGGGCTTTGTTTCAAAGCTTGAGCCACAGACATTTGCCCTATGTTGACTCCCTCTTTTTTAGTGAGTATCATGTGTGGTGAATCTCTTCACAAACATTTAAAATTAGTAATATTTACATGCAGAATATTTAAACTTAAAATCTTAAGCATACCTATGTATTTTATGTGCCCTTGTTATAAGGTTCAAATGAGGACTAGTCTTTGTGCAGAAGGAAAAAAGTAAGTGCACACAGACCATTAGAATAAAGGGTAGGAAGAAAGAGTTCTTAAACACCCTCTCTGGTTACTGAACTGTGTGTTCATACATCTCCATACCAAATAAAGCTCACTGCTCCCAGTGATCCACTGCAGCTCTCATAGGATTTGTCCCTTGCAGCATCAGTGTTAAATTCACTTTGGTACCATTCCAAATGCTAGAGGAAGTGACAATCTGCAGCAGTTACTATAGAAACAGATTTCTTAACAAGAACATTAACCATTAACAATGTATTTATTGGAACTGTGCTGTATCTCCTCCAGTTTGCAAAACTGTTTTCTTGGTCAACATAAATCATGGAATTTTGGAAGTCAATTTTATTTTGAAAAAATAAAATAATGAAGTTGTTAAATCATATGTTTCTTGTTTATTGTACTCCTACATCCATAGAATCCCTTTATGTCAAGTTACACCTAAAGAAAAAAGAAGGAAAAGAAAAAAAAGACATACTAGAAGTAATTTATAGTTCAAAGTGATTTACAGGATTAAACACAATGAGATTACATGATCAGATGCAATTTGCTTCTTCAGGATTCTTGTCTTAATCCTTTCACAATCTACAAAGCACATGAAATTAGTTTGTGTAAAGAACCTGACCGGCAGGGGATGGCTTGGCTGAACCATGATCAAAGATAAAAAGGTCAGATTTGAAGTGAATAAGCTGCTCTAGGCTACTCTGAAGTTCTAACTGGAGCTGATGAAGATCGGCTCAGATGGAGATTTCTTCCCTGATTTAGAAAAGTTGCTGTGTCCCAACTCCTTGTACAGGAAATAAAAACAAACTTCCCAGTATGTCAACTTCCATTAGTGAGACTTCCAAGTATGTCAAAAAAGGACATGCAGGAAAGAATGCAGTTTTCATTAATGGAAGAATTTGCAACATGCAGGATTTCAGAGGGACTGCGCAGTGAACAACAATGACAAAAATTAAGCAGCTGCTTCATTTACTGAATGCTATCTGTCAGGCACACTGATCTATAAGGGAGCCCTTGGGAGGAAAAAATGTCATGTAACTAAATACTGTGGACAGTTTATCTTTCAATTACACAGGTGTTCACACTGAACATCCACATAACTGACACAGGAATCTGCCCAGGCAAGGCACACATTCAGGAAGAAGACCCAAGCTTACATATGCAGCCCTAATTCAAGGTACCTAATTAGTAGTGTACTTCATAATCTTCCTGTACTTCATAATCTCACAACTTAATGGTAAATGCAATGATATAGGCTTTAAGTTGGAAGAAAAAAGGAAAGCAACAATCTTGGTACTTGCTGAACTGACACAGAACTGATCCTTTGAAACAGATGTGAGCAGTGCAGTCACACCCACATCACCCTCCTCTCACACTTCCATTGATCAAAGCACACAGGCTCACACAAATTAGAAAGAAATGCCACAAAAGAGCATGGCTTTGAGGTGAGGGTTAAGGGAAGGCATAATTCTCCTCTGCTTTTCCTACTACTCTTTTTTCCTACCACTAAAATCTACATGTAATGAATCTTTCTGATAAAAACAAATGCCTCATGTTTAAGTCAAGCTAAAAGTCTTTGAAACACTGATATAATGAAATAGCAGTGACTGCAGAGCCTTTTTTATTTTGGGTTTCTATTTTAAGTTACAGGTATGCACTCGAGGACCTCTTGCTCATGTAAACTTGTGCACACACACACACACAAATACACAGAACACTGCAATAGTGCTTTATTTTTAATAAGCACAAACCACCAGAACAAAGAATTTCTAAGGAGCTAACTTACCACAAATTGATAAAGATGATTAGAATTGCATCAAGAATGCCTCCAAATTTTGCTTCAGAAGGATGGGGGTCAGTACAATTGTGCTCTCTTCAAGGGAATGGTTACACCCTTTGTTCATCCAATGCAACTGCACTGACCTAGTTAATGTCTCAATTTTCTTATATCTACAGCAATCTCACCCAAAGACTTATTATCTTTTTCAGCCTTCCATGGTGCAGAGCAAATCTGCAGAGCAGATCAAATCATCTTCCTTGCCTGTTTTCCTAACAGAGGGCACAAATTGGTCCAGAGTGGGGGGAGAAAAAAGGAAGAGAAGTATTTTACAGCAATGCAACCTCCCTCAGTTCCATGTGGAAGAGATGGTATGTCAGGGGCCCAGGAGGCAATGAAAGAGGAGTCACATAACTAGGAAAAAGAGAAAGATGGTTTAGGTTTAAACTGAACATAAGCTGCCATAGAAGACTTTGGTTTAGCCTAGTATTATATATTCTAATAGTTGTAAAAGCTCAAAGTCTCCATGTCAGTTCTGTCCCACTGGAGAACAACTGGAGCCACAGTTTGTTATATGAAGGAAAAAAAAAAGTTGGCAGCATAAAGTCCACCCAACTAATGTAATTAGGTATGCATTAGGTATGTATTTTAGACATATGCATTATGGTCTCTATTTTAGTGGGGAGAAGTGTATCTTCCATTAGGCAAATGAAAATCAAAATGGATTAATCCAGCTTCCCTGCTGCTTCTATTTTAATCAATCACATGTTGTGGAAGCAACTCTGTCGTAGCCAAGACTCTCTAAGAATCTACGTGGTCTTAAAGAGAAGGAGAATTTCTTATTAGACTAAGTGACAGAGTTGATAAGAAAGCTTTCAGGCACAGAAGCCCTTCAGCAGATCAGATTAGGAAGTGTTTTCATGTTTTCTACCATGGCATTGCACTTGAAGGACCAACATGTGACAACTGGAACCTGTATGCAATAACTCCCACCACTGCTTTAATGGATTCCTGCCTGTTCTGCAACTCCTCTGAGACCTCTCAATAAGATACAGAGAATCTTATCGAGAAACCATCATTTTTTCCAACATATTTAGCACAATGACATCCCAATCATGCATTGTGCTCACACATACTGTATAAATCAAATGCATAATCCCAGAAATCCCTTCCAAGTGTTGTTTAGATTTCAAATTTTTTTTCAGTTAAAACAAATTTACCCACTTTCTACAGTTACCAAGTAAAACAGGGTCACATGAACTCTTTTCTATTCTCTTTTGCATGGATTTTAAAGTACTTTAGAACAGTGATTATTCTTTATGCATTTAAGGGTGGTACAAGTCAGTGCAAAAAGTCTGTGGTAGGAGGACAGTGGAGCAACATGAGGTTAGAACGTATTTTCAATTATAGGCCTTGAGAAGAAAAGTAGCAGAAATACCCTCTGAAAGAGGATTTAAAGAAAATAAGATCATTCACAAGCAGCTGCAGAGGCAAATTACTGAGGAATCACCTTGAGTAGCATAAGTAACTGTAGAGCTCTGGTTAAAATTAGAGCTTTTTAAATATAATTTCTTCAGGGGTTTTGTGCTGTCAAATGTTAGTTGCTAAACACAGACACTTCCTGCATTATGTCAATGAAGGGATAGCATTTACAGCCTGTGTCAAAATTACCCAAGTGCCTAAGAATATGTATCTAACTGCCCCCTTACAGCTGAGAGAAATGAGCAGAAATGAGTCTTTTAATAATATTTATGAAACATGAAAGAGGACCAAGCCACTCATGAGAAAAAGCATCCCCTGCCAATTATGCCACACTTCAATGACTACAGTGAAAGAAAGTCAGAGACCTTTGGGGGAACTTTAGTCTCTCATGAAGTTGAAAGAGAAATTCCCAGGGAATTAAAAGCCACATCTATCAAGGCATTGACATATTCAGTTTCCAAAGTGGAAAAAGCCAGCTGCTGCATTGCCAAGTGTAAGACCTTCCTCTTCACCCATACTTGTCAAAGTTATCTCCTAGCCAACTGCAGAATAAAATTCTACAGTGCTCTTCTCCAGCAGAAATTGAATTAACCTTTATACTAAGTGCCTGACACTGAAAATAGGGCTATCTTGACAGAGGAATTGCTGGTTACTATAAAGAACTAAAAGAAGATGCTACTCAAAAACACAGGTAAAGATTGAACCAAAAAGAATTAACATCTTTTATATTTATAAAGGGGCACTAAGCACTAACAACAATATCCCAAGCTGAAAGCTCATGTGGAGAAAAGAATTAAAATATTCCAGAGCTGTGTACAGTATTCCCTACAACAGACATGGTCAGCTATTCAAATAAATGTTTGCTACTTATTTGGGACACTTAGGGGGAAAAAGGACAAGAGATGCCAACCATTCAGTGGAATAATAAGGGTCACAGACAGAAGTGGATAGGATTTATTTTTAATTTCATGTGTAATTTTTCTAAACCAACAGTCAATAATTTCCTCCAGTAGCTCTTCTCACACATTTTTTCTCAAGTGTGTAAATCTCATTAGAAGTTTTGATAAATTATACAAGAAACACCACATGGACAGAAAATTCCAG